GGATTAGGGCCCTTTGCATCATCTCTTCCTCGCTTTGATTGTTGCATTCCTAGAGCTAGTCCGTGTCGGTAGTGACTGCAGAAGGGCTTCATTGTAGTGACCTTGCTGATGGAGAGATGCAGGCTACAGCATGCTCTCCCTGGGAGGAGGCGACTTAGGCAGGAGATAGGTGACTTCCAGCGGGGACACCTCCCCACCTGTAGGCTTGGGTGCACCTCCGATCCTCATCAAAAGATGCCTCTTGGGTCTGCAGGTCTTAAGGACAAAGGTCATCCCTTCCTTGGGCCACACCTGTCACTGACTGGCTTGCCTGGAGCAGTTTCTGAGTATGACACAATGGGCAGCCCTGGGTGGCCGAAGAAGGCATGCTTGGCTCATTATTGTGGCAGGCCAGTGTCCACTGAGGAGGGGGTACAGCCCTGGCCTCTGCTCTGTCTCTGGTGCCACAGCCCCTGCTGCAGAGCTGGGTGGAAGGGGTGAAAGGCTGTGTGGGCCGTTTTCTGTGGGGGTCATTGCGGTGGCTTGAGTGAAGCTGGCATGCAGTTGAGGCAGGCAGATTTGGGACCCCAGAGCAGAGCCTCACCCTGAGGGTGGGTGGCTGTGGTTGTGTCGTCTGCCTCTCTGGAGAGCGTAGGGCCACCGTTGTAAGGAAGGGGCAGTGGGAGCTGCAGTGGCCTGTGTGGAGCAGATGGATGATGCTTCAGGAAGGAAGGCAGCTTGTGCTTGGTGGGGAGCTGGAGGGCGGTGTCCCTGGAGCCTGAGAGGGTGAGGCTAGGGATCGGGCACAGCTCAAGGCTGGAGATGGGTGTGGTGAAGAGGGCCCAGAGCCACGCCGGGACCTGGGCACAGGCCTTCTGAATGGTCATCATGAGAAAGGTGCTGCATCCTGGACCGTGAAGGTGGGAGTGGTGACCACAGCCTCTTCATCAGGATTTCAGTGTCTGCTGTCCACTCAGGAAGTGCACACGTCTCATTGGGACAGGATGAAGGGGGCTGTTGGGCAGAGCTCAGCCAGGTTGCTGCTGGGCTGCCAGCAGCATTGCTGAGACTGTGGGGCCGCCCGCAGGAGGCAGCAGTGTCCAGACACACGGAGGGCTTCAAGGTGGTGGCAGATGGTGGAGTGGAGAGAGCATCAAGCGAGTCTCCGCGGCTCCCTTGGTGCCCTGTCCTGGGGAAAGCGGCAGAGCCTGGTGAGGCCTGTGCAGTAGAACTTCCTGGGGCGAGGGCTGTGGGCTCCGTCTGCTGTCCAGGGCAGCAGCCACAGGTGACCAGCATGACAGAGGGACTGCAGTGTTTGTCTTAATGAATCCTAGGATTCCCCTATCACTCCCTGACGTGTCGGGGGAGGCACACTGTTCCAGGCTTTGTTTTCTTGTTTGAGACAGGGTCTTGCTTTGTAGCCCAGGTTGGCCTGGAGCCCATAGTGCTTCTCCTGCCTCAGCTGTGGAGTGCTGGAATTACAGGCAGCACCTTATCCACTTCAGCCTTTGTTCTTTAGAATGTCCTCCAGTGTAATGCTTCCACGCTCGGAGGTGAGGGTGTCGTTCCTTTTCACATGGAAAGGGATCCGAGGCGCAGAGTGAGTTGCCAGCGATTACTGCGGACAGTTGGGCCTGTTGGCCAGGTGCTTCCTGCTATATCCTCTTTTTGTTGTTGTTATAATTGGTATTGTCCTTTTATTTCATTTTTTAAAGAGAATGCAAAATGGTAAAATAAAGAACATTAGAAATGATACAGAATTTTACCAAACAAAATAATAGGAATTCGACAATGGTTGATGTATTTATTACATAATATTATCTTCAAATTAGTTGTGCAGATTACCAGATATAAACCTGCAAAATTGGAAAAAGAAAAAGAAAAATGTTAGCATTGGCCTTCCTGCCGTATCCTCCTTCCTTCCCCCAAGAGCCCCGAGCCTGGGGAAGGTCATGGAGGCTGCGGTTTCCTGGTTCAGCCTGCTTATCTTTTCCCCTGTAAAGTTAATGTGGATAGGCGAATGACAGGCCAGCAGAAACCAGGCAGAGAATGCTCACGAGCTGATGCCTTGCCCAGACCTCCTACGGGGCTGCCCGTGCTCACTGGCAACCTCTCTGAGAAGGCATGTGGCAGGAGAGGCCTCGGGGAGGCTGGGCCGTGGGCCCTACCGTGTGTGGGCTGTGTTTGGGAGGTGGAGGCCTGAGACAGTTTAGGGGTCATATGGACGAGAAGTGCCCAGGAGAGCTGGACCTTGGGACCCAGGCCAGCAGGGAGTTTCTAGCTCACTGTGCTCCTTGGGAGGCACGGACCAAGACATTGCTGCCCAAGAGTCTCAGTTTTCACTTCAGAAAAAACTGGAGGTATTTGGTGTCACATTGTAAGGAAGGTCCTACTTCTAGCTTAAAATTGTGTCATCAGATTACTTTCTAGAATCTCTCTCTCTCTCTCTCTCTCTCTCTCTCTCTCTCTCTCTCTGTCTGTCTGTCATCAAGACAGGGTCTTACTATTTAGCCCAGGGTGGCCTCAAAATGTGATCCTCCTTGGTCCAAATAGATAGCTCAGCGGACTAAAGAGCCTGCTTACGCAGCTACAGGGACTGGGGTTCCATTTCCAGTGTGCCCTACCCACAGCCCCTCCCCACTCCCTCAGGCTGAGACAGCAGTTGAGACTGGGCACGGTGGTGCATGCCTGTAATCCCAGCACTTTGGGGGCTGCAAGACAGGAAGGATCACTACAAGTCTGATCTGTGTAGAGAGACCCTGTAGACCCTGTACTAAATACATTAAGAAAAAGAAAAAGAAATGTGATCCTCCTGCTTCAGCTTCCCACATCCTGGGATTACAGCCTAGAACATGTCTTATGGGTCCTCAGGCTGGTAAATGCCAGACGTTCAATGTACTGCTGGCCTATCAGTAAGCAAGAGGCTTCTTTTGCTGTGTGTCGCGTCCCATCTGTGGGACAGACTGTGGACCACATGCACTTCAGAGCACACTGGTCTCCGGACCACATCAGGGAGGTGTTTGCCCTTCCCTGTGGCACCCAAGTTAGAGCAGTGTAAGACTACACCACGCTGCTGGCTTCTTGAGGGGGCTCAGTGTCATCCCCGGCCAGGTGGGTGAAAGCAGTGTCCACCCTGTTGGGTGACTGAGCAGATGGAATGGTGAAGCACACGTGGAGCGCTCCGCATGTGAAGCGCTTGGTGGTGCGCCCTGATGAGGGCTGTGCAGGTGAAGGTAGGTGATTAACTTGGCTTTACTTTTTTTTTTTGAGGTGCTGGTGGTGCACCCCAGGGCTTCACCATTGCGCAGCAGCCCAACCTCTTGGGATTATTTTTAGCTTTCTCTGATCTTCAGCTTTCTCATTGCTCAGCTGTTTCCCTGGTTTGTGCCCTGTGCCACACGGCTCTGTTTGGGGCGCTGGTTTCAGGAAGCCAGTCAACACATTGGGTGTTTATGGAATGGGCAGTTTTTCTCTGTTGTACTTAACTGAGCTGAATACAAATTGTCGAGTAGGATGTATTCACATTAAGAGTCCTTATTTTCTGCAAATTGGAGAAGGTGGCTCATCGTGAAGATCCCCATCATCGGCAACAGTGGGGTTAGGTCTTACCAGTGCCGGTGGGTCAGTGGCAGCCTGGTTGTGGCTCTGCCCTGGAACGAGGGATGCGAGGTGCGAGGCAGCCGTCTTTCAGCTGCCCCCCCGCTCTGCAGCCACCAGCCCTGTGAGGGTGGCTCTCCATTGACGGGTGAGGAAACAGCTTGGGAGACATGTCCTGGTGTAGGGTGCCTCGGAGCCAGCTGAGTATGGACTGAAACCTCTATTAACTGTGAGCTGAAACCTTTCCTTCCTCCTTCATTCTGGGTGTCCGGCGTTGGTCCCGGCAACAAGAGAGGTGTAACTGAGACACTTCCCTTGAGTTCTTACAATTCACAGTGCTCATGAAGTGAAACTGTAGTGTGTGGTGAAGGGTAGCGGCAGTGTCTGAGGTGTGGGACAGGAGGCCTGGGGGCCAGTCTACTATGGCAGGCTGGTGATGGAGGAGGTCTGCTTTGCTAGCTGAATGAAAGTGACCTCAGTTCTGTAGGCTGTTGTATTTGAACTAGACCTTGGTGAGCATGGAGGGTGAAGGTTCAGGCATCGTAAGGCAGTGTCCAGCTGCTGCATAGCTAGTTTATATTTGTGACCTCATGTTCTAAGCAGGAAACGTCCTGCTGATACCATTACTGGAGGCTCTGGATGAAAAGGACAGGAACTGCTTATAAGAATCTGTATTGGGGCTGATTTTGCTTTTGGAAAGTGCTGGTAGTTCCTTGTGATAGAATGGGTTGCTGTATTGCCTTGGATGGGGCCACCAACTGGTGACGATGTGATCACCAAGGAAACCGAGAGATGCAGTGTGTGAAAGGTCTCTGAGGGGTTTGTTCTGTGGTCCAGAATCCCATTGGCTTGGAGCTGTGGCTGTGGATGGGAGCCCGGTGTCAGAAGCTGGGTGTCCCTCACGAACTTTGAGGGTTGGTCTGTGTAGTTCTCCCTTGGGCCTCGGTAGAAAACCTGGGGAGATTTTGGGTAATCTCCAGGCCGTTGTGAGACTTGGCTCTGATCTTTCTGCTGCTGCACACAGGAAATGAGGTAATGTCTTTAAACAGTGCGTGTGCAGAACTGTAAATGCCTAATATGGGCAGCTCGGCAGCTCTCCCTGCTGGGCACTGTGCTGAGTGCTGATGTCAGGGGTCTGTCCTCTCTTGGCTGCTTTGACCTTGGAGGTCCATGCTGTCTCAGCATCTGGAGGGCCTGCGCCTGTTGCCTGTCCGGTTGGGGGCTGTGTGACTGTTGGAAGGCCCTAGGGGGAGCAGCTACAGGCTGGTGGGGTGCTGAGAATGCGCAGCCCAGCGGCAGGACCCGCCCCCAGCACCAGCGCCCACCTGTGGTGGATGTCTTGGGAGGAGCAGGGACTTCTCTTGGGAAACTGGGAAGTCACATCCTGTGTATACAGCATGCTAATGTTTTATTTGTTCATGCCCTCTGGCAGGCTGTAAATATAGTACTTAGGTTTTGAATTTGTAACTGGGATCTGTCTGTATATGGAAAAACAAAAGCAGGTGAATCACTAAGGGAATTGGAAGCAGGATCTTGTGTGTAGTCAGCTCTGGCTCGCAGTTGTCTTACCCCAGCCTCCTAGTACTGGCGCTATGGGTGTGTGCCACCATGCCTGGCTTTTTTGTTTTCCTTTTTTAATGTATTTGTTCCAGGGTCTCACTATGCAGCTCGGACTCGCAGTGAGCCTCCTGTTTTCAGCCTCCGCAGTGCTGGGATTACAGGTGTGCACTACTATACCCCATCTCAATCGCTCCCGGTGCGTCATGTGGTGCCAGGGATGGAACCCTGGTCCCTGCGCTCATCTAAGCAGGTGCTTAGTCCGCTGAGCTATCTTGCCAGCCCTTCCATGCTTGGTTTAAACTAGAGACTTTATTTTTTGACCACTGGAGATTAAACCTAGGGCTTTCACTGTGACATACACTTCCAGCTCCCTTCTCCCCCATTTTGAGACAGGGTCTTACTAAGTTGCTTTGTTGCTCTGACTGGACTTGAATTTATAATCTTCCTGCTTCAGCCTCCTAGTGTGCTGGGATTACAGGGTTGTATCATTTGCTTGGTGTGAACTAGCAAAGAAAATTTTTTTAAAATGTGCATATGCTGCCCCTCCACGCCAGCACTGAGCCGGCAGCCGATTCCTGGCATGGTGCTGCATGCCTGTGATCCCAGTGCTGGGGAGGCCAAAAATAGGCGGATCACTCTGAGTTCCAGCTGTGTAGTGAGACCCTGCACACACACAAAATGTTAAAACTGTTTATACGATAATAGTCGTTTATCTCAGCCTTCCCTGCACTTCTTTATAGGATTTAGAAAGCATACTAGAACGTGTGGAGAAGCTGAGACAGTGGCTCCCGTCCTAGGCTGAAGGAGCACCAGTCGTGCAGTGGTGGGGCGGAGTCGGGGCAGGTGGGGCGAGGAGTGTTGGCAGCTCCTGGGTACCTCGAGCTCTCCTGCAGCAGGGCCGGGCACCGAGACCTGAGTACTGCAGATGTTGAGAAAGGACGGTGGGGGCAGCCCCAGTCGCAGGCCCTGGCCAAGCTGCCGGGCTGGAGTCTGCACTTGTCGCCCAAGCCTTGTGGACATGGGAGTGAGTAGGAAGCCTCATGTAGGTACAGCTGAGAATGGGCAGCCAGGGCAGTCACTGAAAGACCAGGTCTGAGAGCTGTGGTGCTCCGATTCCACAGTGGAGGGCTCGTGTCATGTAGTGGAAAGCCTCAGCCTTCTTGGAAAGGTCCAAGTAAGTGGCCCAAGTGACCTGACCCTGCATGACTGCTGACTACAGGAGGAGGTGGGCAGTGGCAGCCTCACCCCTCTGGCAGGCAACTGGGGAGCCTCACATTCCTCCTGGCTTGTGGACTGTGGCTGCTTAGCCTCAGGGATGGTGACAACAGCTTTGGACCATCAAGGAGAGGGGGGCGCGTGCTCATGGGTGACCTCAGGGTGCTCATGGGCTCTGCAGCCTCCTTTGGCATGTGTGTTCACCCAGGAAGACTGCTCTAGTCAAGGAGAGAAGAGCATCCAGACAAGGGGCTTCAGTCACGCTGCAGCCAAGACAGTGCCCCTGCTCCACTTGCGCAAGCAGGGAGTGGTACCTGGTGGTGGCACCCTGTTCTTGAGTGTGACAGCCCTGCTGCTGACAGCCTCTCCCAGGCAGGGTTTCCCAGTGAGGTGGAGCCTGGTCGCTCAGCCTGCCTTCCATGTGTCAGCAGTGGGGGCAGCAGGTGTCCCCAAGGCATGAAGATGCGGGTTCTGTGTGTGGTGAACACCTGCTGCTAGACTGGTGCTGTCAGAGTGCACAAGAGGGACATGCAGGAGCTTCCAGCAGGCGAGACCTTGAGGAACTTGCAGGGGCTGGCAGCCAGCCGGGTGGGCAGGAACCCAGCACCTCCTCGGCGGGGTAATCAGCTGTGGTTTTCATCGTTTACAGTAAATATTGCTATAGAATTGAGGGCAAAAGTGACTTTGGAACACTTTGCAGTGTAGAGACAGCTGGGCGAGTAGAGACCCAGATATCTGGGAGTCCTGGTTTCCATTATCAGCCCTGGCTTCCTCGCTTCTTCTCATGGGGTTCAGTCGGCCAAGGTGAGGCCTGGTACCTGATGTGGGGCCCAGTGCTACAGAGCCCCGCCTCTCGCAAGGAACGCCTGTGCCCTGCTGTGGGCAGGCATTTGGGTAGGTCCATGGGGAGCCCCTGGGAGTGGGGTCCAAGGGTCTCCAGAGTATGGCGCTGCCCACAAGTCCACTGTAACCTCTGAGCTCTGTCCTTCTTCCTCGTCCAGGAGGGACGACAGTGGCCTCTGACAGTATGATGCGCTGCGGGAGGTTAGAAGTGTGGTTTAGGAAACATTCTGTGGGTTGTTTGAAGACAGGATCTCACTATGTCATTCAGGCTGGCTTTGAACTGGAGTCCTTCTGCCTCCACCTCCTGAGTTTGGGTGTATGCTTTTTGTGTATATTTTTCAAGTATTCTAATTTAAATGGAGATCTGAGGCCTTTAATTCTAGATTCATTTTCTTCCAGGATACCAATACAGACTTGGGAGTCAGGCATAGTGACACATAGCTGCAGTCCTGGCGGGTGGGAGGCTGAGGCAGAAGGATGGCTGGGGATGCAGCCTAGTTCGAAATCCTGGGCTCAGCTTCCTCATCACACTCGTACGCTCCACACAGCGTTTATCTGGGAAATATAAGCTCATTCTGCTTGCTTTTTTTTTTTTCTTTAGGATTCACAGATGGATTCAGAGGAAAAGACGACAAATAAAAGTGAACAAAAATCAAGGTAAATAAACTCATGTCTACCTTCAGGCAGGTTTTTTGATCTCGCAGAGTCTGGGAGAATCTGTTGTAAGGGTGCAAAGACAGAAATGAAATAGGAACCGGGTCAGGTTGGGCCTAGTACACAAGGAGCTCTCTCCCCAGGCGAGGCAGCCCTCCTGTGGGTGGCACTGTTCTGGCCCTGCAAGATGAGTGGCTGCTTGGGCTGGCAGGGCCCTTGCTGTCACTGCCAGCAGGGATCATCTGTTGTGGGCAGTTTGAGGAGGCGGCGGCGAGGAAGGCCTGGCCGCCTGAGACCCTGGTGGAGCAAGGGTCCAGTGACAGAGGAATGCCCAGAGTAGATAGGCAGCACCAAAGCTTTGTCTGCTGCTGGGGAACAGAGGGGATGGAGGGGCAGAGCGTGGACGTCCAGGGCTGAGCTGGGTTGGACCTGAACGCCACAGCCCCTTCCAGGCTCGGGTTCGCAGTGTTCTCTGCTGATTCTTGTTCTTTTCCCTTATGTTGAAGCAGAAAGTTTTTAAAAAGCCTCATTCGGAAGCAGCCGCAGGAGCTGCTGTTGGTCATTGGCACTGGCGTCAGTGCGGCGGTGGCCCCCGGCATCCAGGCCCTGTGCTCGTGGCGCAGTTGCATCGAGGCTGTCATCGAGGCTGCAGAGCAGCTGGAGGTGCTGCACCCCGGGGATGTCGCTGAGTTCCGGAGGAAGGTGATGAAGGACCGGGACCTGCTGGTTGTGGCCCATGATCTGATCCGGAAGATGTCACCTGTGAGTCTCATGAGAACTTGAGAGCCAATGGGGACAGCTTGGGTATAGGCTGGGAGAGTGTGTGGAGTTGGGCTGGTGAGCTCATAGGACATTGTCCTTGTCTCACTGTGATGTCAGGCGGCCCCAAAGCAAGGCATAGTGAACAGTGCCCCACTACACGAGGCTTGGGGTGCTGTCATGTGTACGTTAGGTGTGAGCTTGTCACATGTCAGCAGGCCAGGCACATCTCAGTGGTGGCTGCTCTCTCAGTGCTGAGTGAATTGAGCATCCGCCTGCAGAGGAAGTGAGCTGGCAGGAAGGAGTGCAGTTGGTGACATGGGGACAGTCACTGAGTCTTGTCCTTGATGGGGTCTGAACAGGGGTTGGGCTTGGTCAGAGGCCATCTGTGGCGTCTGGACGCAGTTACAGGGAAGCTAGGCTGTGTGTGTGTGTGTGTGTGTGTGTGTGTGCGCGCGCGCATGCATGCGCATGTGCCCGTCTGTGTGTGGTAGAGGCTGGTACCAGGTCTCTTCATCCCTCATGTCTGATAGAGCAGTCCCTATGGAGGTGGATGGGGTGGGGACGGGGATGGTCAGGCAGTGAGAGCTGCTGGAAGGACACCAGAATTGTGGCTTCAGTGTGACAGCGAGTCCGTTCCCGCATGGGAATCCGGGGAGGGGCACAGGGAGCCTGTATGTGGGGAACTGGGCTCCGACCCTGTGCCTGAGGTGTGCTGCCCAGCTTCCTGCCGTGTGGGTGGGGAGGGTGGTGGAGTGCTGTGGAAGTCACCTGCACCTGTTTTCACCCCATCTACCCCTGCCTTTCCCAGGTGACTGGGCTCAACATGGAGTCCTGTGACTAAGGGATGACGACCGCCACGGGTGGGGGTGGGCACGTACACCTGGGCCAGACCTGGTGTGCCCCTGCTCCTGTGAGAGAGGTTCTGCTCGCACATGGCCATGCTCACCCAGTGACACTTGGGGCCGCAATGATGTCACAGGCCCGACGTGTACTCTTTGATCCTTGCTGGCCCCACTACAGGAAGAGAAGGGGAATGGGAGGGAGCCAGGGCGGCTGGGGGCACGGCTGGCTGGAGGCCCTGGCCTTTGTCTGCAGAGGTGGGCTGCCTGCTGTGGGCAGTGGTGGCAGCTCTGTGGCACGCACACCACAGCAGGCTGTAGGTATCGTTGAAAACGGAGAGGCTTACCATCCCCACCGTAGGAGATGTTCTGTACGATTTTGCAGACCTCTCTGAGGAGATTTGGTGTGGGTGGTCAACAGGCTGAAGGGCTGGGGACTCCCTGGGGAGTCCCAGTGGCCCGAGTGAGCAAGGCGTGTGATGCCCCGCAGGGGCAAGACCCAAGTGGTGAGCAGCACGCATGGGCCCTGGTGTTGGCGTCACAGACAGCAGAGAGGCTGGGCTGGAGGCAGGTTCTGCCAAGGGCCTGGCTCTGGTCCTGCAGAGGGCTGGTGTGGGTGCTGAGGGGCGCAGCCAGTGGGGAGAGCTGGGGCAAGGGAATAGGCAGGGCAGGCCATGCGCCTCGCTCTGGAGTCTCCAGAACAAGGTCAGAGGTGTGCCTAGGGAGACTGAGCCCAGCCATCCTGTCCTCCTGCCCGTGGAGGCCTCGCTGTCCTCCACTCCTGCAGGCTGCTGGGCCTGCAGCATGCTGCACTGTCCTGCCCAGGGGTGGCAGGTTGTGACTCTGCCCCTGTCTCACAGCGCACAGGCGACACCAAGCCCAACTTCTTCCAGGACTGCCTGATGGAAGTGTTTGACAGCCTGGAGCAGCACATCCAGAACCCGCTGGTGCTGCAGTCCATCCTCGGCCTCATGGACAGGGGCACCATGGTGCTCACCACCAACTACGACAACCTGCTGGAGCTCTTCGGGCAGCAGCAGAACAGGCCCATGGAGTCGCTGGACCTGAAGGACAAGACGAAGGTGGGCGGATGGTGAGGGCTGGCACCCGGCAGTGACCTTTCAGTGGGGGAAGGTCCCCAACTCCCACAGGGAAACAAGACCCTGAGTTTGTGTGGAGGCCATGCCAGCCACGTCAGGCAGCTGGGCCAGGGTGCTGGTGCCTGGCGCCTGGCCACGCGGCCTCCTGCCTTCTGCGGCGGCTCTGCTTTCCTCCCACGTTCCATCCTGGAGGCCTGAGAGCGCCTCCTGCATTTATTCACTGCAGCCACCCTGGGAGACATGGGTTGCAAGTAATAGGAAGCCCCCAACACCACACCGCACCCCATTGCTGCATCTTTTTTTTTTTAAGTGGTCCTGGGGATTGAACCCAGGACCTTCACAGCTGAGCTGCATCTCAGCCTTTTCTTTTCTTTCTTTCTTTTTTAATATGTTTTATGGGGCTGGTGAGATGGCTCAGTGGTCTAAAGCACCTACTTAGAACAAGCTTAGCAAAGCACAGGGACCGTGGTTCAATCCCCCAGCACCACATGCCAGCCAGCCCCGCCCCCTGGTGGGCTGAGCTGGCCACACACAGACACACACACACACACACACACACAAATAAATTTTAAAAATATATATATATTTTAGTATAGGTTCTACAGGGTCTCACTACCTAGATCGGACTCGCAGTGATCCTCCTGTTTTCAGCCTCTCAAGCACTGGGATTACAGATGCGCACCACCACGCCCAGTCTCAGTCACTATCTCAGCAGGGCTGGCACAGCACGCCGGGGATTGAACCCTGGCCACTGCACTCTGCCTAAGCAGGCGCGTTAGTCTGCTGAGCTATCTGGCTGGCCCTTTTATTTTCTATTTCGAGACTGCATCGCCAGGTCACTTAGCTGTCCAGGCTGCGCTGGAGTTTGTAGTCTTCCTGCCTCAGCTTCCCAGACCGCCGATGTCGTGAGCGTGCCCCGGTGGCTGCTCAGATTTTTTTCCTTAACAGCTCTGTAACCCCTGTACTCAGGAGGCCGAGGCAGTAGTGCTGCCAGAAGTCCCAGGCCTGCCTGGGCTACCCAGTGAGTTTAAGGGCAGCCTGAACTACACAGCAAGACCCCATTTCAAAAAACAATGCAGAACAAAACAAATTTGAATTGCAACTCACGCAAAATTTTTTATTTTTAATTTTTCCTTAATATACTGGACATCTTTCTGTCATTAAGCTGTTTTCAAAAGTGTGATTTTTAAATGGCAGTAGGATTCTGAGACTAAATAATTGTTCCCTTCCTCTCTTGTGAGCATGTTTACTGGTATAAGTACACCACAATGAAAATCCCTGCACTTCTGTGTTCACGTTTATTCCTTCAGGGTAAACTCCTACAGTGCTTCCTGGCCGGAGGAACGGTATTTAAGAGACTGCTGCTACAGATTACGCAGGGCTCTCCCGCAGTCTCCAGCTAAGCACCCCCACTGTGGATGGGAGTGCCAGTTTCCCTCTCTTGGCCAGCATTCGGTGTCACTGTGAAAATTCTGCCAGGCTCTGTGGTGTGTGCTTGTAATCCCAGCACTTGGGAGGCTGGGGCAGGAAGATTCCCACAAGTTCAAGGCCAGCCTGGGCTATATAGTGAAACGGTCTCAAGGGGGAAAAAAAAAAAAAAGACAAAGTATTCTTCATCTATCTGATAGATGCAAATCTAAAACTTTTGCTTTTTATTACTAAGTTAAAGGCAGTCTCATTCCATTGATGATTTTCTTTGTGGACATGTTTGCATCCTTGTGTATTTACGAATTTTCTTATTGTCGTCGCCCCCAGTACCATCTGTCACTCAGCCTCAGTGCCTTGTGCTTCCCTCCACGCAGTCTCTCCAGAGTGGCCATGGTCCCAGCTGCCGTCGGGGTGGTATGTGTGGGGCTGGGCCCTGGCTGGAGCAGGGCAGCGCTGTGGCCTTCGGGGGAGGCCAGTGGCCCTGGCCCTGTCTGCCAGCAGGCTGCAGTGCCCCACGCCCAGAGTCCTGCGGACACCCCTGCGTCTTGTATGAGGTGGCTACCGCGGGCCACTGCCGAGGACTTTCCTGTCCATATGGACTTTTCCTTGGTGTAAGACTGACGCGTAAGCAAGGTGATGAACAGTCAGTGTGGCCCGAGAGCAGCCGGTGCCCACATGTGAGGGGGAAGAAGGCAGCTGTAGCGTGGGCGCAGCTCTTCCTCCCTCCAGGCGGGCTGCAGAGGCTGAGTGATTTAGAGGTCGTGTCTCTTGTCCGTGTGAAGTAGCACCAGGCCGTGTGTCTCCATCTCGGCTTGTGTCGTCAGGTCCTCCAGTGGGCGAGAGGCCACATCAAGTACGGCGTTCTCCATATCCACGGCTTGTACACCGACCCCTGTGGGATGGTGCTGGACCCATCAGGATACAAGGACGTCACGCAGGACGCGGAAGTCATGGTATGGCCCCTCTGCCCTGGGCCCTGCTTGCGATCACTGGGGACCCTGTGGCCATCAGCCCTGCGCCTGTGGTCTATGAGGGCTCCTCTCCTGGCGGCCGGCCCACTCGTGGGGGGGGGGGGACACGCTGTGTCTCCTTGCTGTCTGCATGTCTGCCCTGGCCAGGTGGCTGCACGTGGAATGCACTTGCACACACTTGATCAGTGCTGCCCGGCCGCCCATGTGCACGCAGCCCCCTGCCGTCTGGAACCCTGTCCTTCGGGTGCCTAGCAGCCCTCCAGCTTCAGAACCGGCGTCAAGACTCCATGACCAAGAGGCTGTCTTGCCGCCACGCTAGCAGGGAGGGTGTGAGAGCTGTGTGTCTGGCTCCTTCAGCGCTGTGGCACTGCAAGAGCCCCCGAGAGTGGCTGGGTGCATGGGGTGGGCCTGCGCGCCACGGCCAGAGCGCACTGCCTTCCCGGACCCCTGCTCAGGAGGCCCTTGCAGCTGGCAGGCAGCAGGATGCAAACGCACATGCGCGTGACTTTGTGTTAGTTGGGAGCACCCGGTCCCTCACCAGCGTCCCCGTGTCCTTCCCGGCTCCCCAGGAAGTCCTGCAGAACCTGTACCGCACCAAGTCCTTCCTGTTCATGGGCTGTGGAGAGACCCTGCGCGACCAGATCTTCCAGGCCCTCTTCCTGTACTCTGTGCCGAACAAGGTGGACTTGGAGCACTACATGGTGGTGCTCAAGGACAATGAGGACCACTTCTACAAGCACCAGGCTGACATGCTTTTGCACGGGATTAAGGTGGTGTCCTACGGGGACCGCTTTGACCTCTTCCCAGGATACGTGCAGGACCTCAGCGCTCAGATCTGCAAGCAGCGGAGTCCAGGTGTGCAGGTGTCTCACTTTCTGAGCTCAGTCCCGGCGTCCTGTCGTCTTGTTCTCTTGGACAGATCAGCACCCTGTGCTAAGCTCCGCAGTTTTGCAGTCAACAAGTGCCTCTGTGTAATTCAAATTTAGAAGGCTGGGCTGCACGGTGTGACAGGAGCAGAATTCAGTTCAGTTTTGTTTTGCTCTTGAGACCGTCTTGCTGTGTAGCACAGGCAGTCCTTGAGCTTGTGTAGCTCAGGTGGGCGTTGAGGTGGCAGAAATCCTGCTCTCAGCCTCCTGCTTCTGGGGATTGCAGATGTGCGCCATCACATCTGGCATAGACTTTTTTTTTTTGGACTTGGAATTGAACTGGAGACCTTGTACCTGCCAGGGAGGTGCTTGTGCTGCTGAACTCTATCCCAGCCCTGAGAATTCTAAATTTATAGCTGTGCACACAAAAGCAAGGCACATTATTCTTGTTTTGGTCACCTTAACAAAGAGAGGAAGCCCCAGGCTGGTCTTAGAGCTGCGGCTCTTCAGTGCGGGCCGTCTTTGCTTTGATCGTGGCACTGCAGATCAGATATACTCTGCAGGTACAGGTACAATTTGCAGAGTCCAAAGTGATCTTCTCGAGACTCTGATCTGTCCCTGTTCCAGGTTAACTCCCTGACCTTTCCCCTGGGGACCGTTCATCTGCCAGAAATGATCGAGACTAGTGGGGACTGCAGAGCCAGGTGTCTCGACTTGGGGGGAGTGAATGGCTTTGTGCTTGGGGCCATAAATCATGGAGGCCAGCAGGCCTGCGTCCTCTCTGGGTGATGGGAAGCGGGGTGGCGGACAGCACAGGGCAGCTGGGACAGGAAGGCAAGCTAGCACTCTGGTTCTGCCCCAGCCTTGCTTCTTGGGTGTTAGTGCTCAGCATGGGCTGCCCCTGTTGCGTGTCTTGGGGCAGTGGTGAGGCCCTGCAGGGTGGAAAGGGAGCTTTGTCCCTGGGCCAGTGTGGCACACTGCTGGGATGCCCACATTCCTGCCCTTGATGCTAAGCAGAGGACTTAGGGATGGAGAGACAGCTCAGAGAGGGGCAGAACTTGGTCTGTGGGTGCCCAGGCCCTGCACAGAACAAACACACTGTTCAGCTGACTGGGTGCAGCTCTGGGAGGTGGGGTGTGCGCCTCACCTCTGCTGGCCACTGGCACCACACTGTGACCAGGCCTCCCCTCCCCAAGACCCCCGTTCCAGGTCCTGGCAGCTGACAGCATCCCACAGGCTGCATGTGAACTGGCAGTTTTAGCCTGTGCCATGTTGTGCAGTCCCTCTCCTGGCAGCGAGAACCACAGCTGTGACGCAGCACACAGTACTGTTGGGTGTGGCAGGGCGCCCACGTGCCACCTGGCTCCCAGTGTTTCCCACTGTCATGGAGACCGTGCGTCAGCCCTGTACCGTGAACAAGAGGCCATGATGGGCCCAGGGGCCTCTGCAGTGTGCTGTGGCCGGTGGGCGGGCAGGAAGGGGAGCAGGAGCCTGTCCTGCACCGCTCACTTTTCTCCTTCTTCCCAGACACCGAGCGAGTGGATAGCACCACGTTCCTGGGTAAGGACATCCTCCTTTGGTCAGCCTGATGTTGCCTCCACACTCCCTTGCTTTCCTGCTCCTACCTATGATGTGGTCCCTGAGCTGACCAGCGTACTGGAGAGGCTGTGCGGCAGCTCGGAGGGGACACACCAGCCTTCCCAAGAAGTAGGCGGAGGGATGGGGGGCTATGGGCTGCGCCTGACAGTGAGTTTCCTTGAAGCCAGAGTCTGAGGCCTAGATGAGACGGCCCTGAAGCACAGGGCGCGGCTCCACGGAGGACCTCTCCCTGCAGAAATGGGGATGCGGGCGCCACACATCCCTGCAAATATTCTCTAGTTTGCTTGCTGGAAGTGGAAATGCTCTGGGGGGCCCGGTGCTCCTGTTGGAGGCTCAGCCCCAGTGTCCCTTGGGCGCAGTGAGCGGCAGGTGTCTCTGCATCACCAAGCAGGTTGCCAGGGGCTCTGCAGCCCTGCCCGCCTGGGGGCAGCACCTCCGCTCAGCTGCACACAGCTTCCCTCTTCGCCCTACTTCCGTGGAAAAGCAGTGGCTGTCGGTTTTCCGTGAATAGGGTGCAGGAAAGGTTTTTCTAACGCAGTACCTCATGGCTGCAATCTGTAACGTATGGCAGGGATCATTTGCTGGTGCTTCGGTAAGGGCGGATTTAGAAATGGGCCCTTGGGGTGGAGTCTTGCATACAGCAGTTTTTAAATAAGTTGTCGCCTTTCAGGAAATGCATGTCAGGACTGTGCAAAGAGGAAAATGGAAGAGAATGGAATGGAAGCTCCCAAAAAACTCAGACAGCCAGATACGGGTACTGTGTGCTGGTGTTTGTGTGGGAACCGGTCTCCTGTTTGTCTTGCTGGTTGGTGTCTTCAGTCGCAGAGCTTTGCTGTATGACCCCGCCTGCTGGAGGGAGGAATGGCCACCCTGGGCCAGAGTTCATGCCCAGGAAAGCCCGCAGGGGCACTGCCCACCTGTGCGGCTGTTGGCACAGGAGCGCAGGCCTGAGCAAGTGAGTTCGGGTCGGGCCAGGACCTCCACAGATGGAGCTGCCCAGAGGGCAAGCCACTGGCGGCACGAGCTGCAGTGCCCGGAGGTGCCAAAGACCACCAGATGCCCGAGACTGCCCCTGAGGTTCAGTTAAACTCTTCAGTTTCTTTGAAGTGTTTGCTTCAGTATCATAACTGTTGACACTAGGAAGATTGACCTGTCCCCTTCCTGCTGTCCTCCCCTGCTCCACCCCTTCCAAGGCCGTGTGTTGTTCCGAGCCCCTCAGCACGGTGAGGCTGGGTGACCCGGCCTTCCTGCCAGCTACCCTTGGCCATTCTCAGACCCCAGCCTGTGTGCTACTCGTCCCTCCTGGTTACAGGACAGGAAGGGCTCCTTTCTGTCTGTAGGTTTGTGGTGACTTGGAAAATAGGACCTTGCGTACAAGGTGTCACCAGCTGCGGAGTGCTCGAGGCCAGGCCGGCCGTGGTTTCTCTCACCCTGCTTTCCTGGTCCTGTCTCATACGGGACCCTGGATGGACTCCTCTCCTCTTCACTTTTCTCTCCCCAAGAATTCATGTTAGGGTCTCCTGAGTTATTTCCATCATCCTTTATGTTTTTTCTGACTCTTAATTTTCATTTTTTTTCCTCTCCAGTTTTTCATAAACTTTCTGGGAGATTCTCATAATTATGTTTCAGAAAGCTCTTGGGTTAAATTTTTGCTTTGATAGTGTGATCTTAAATGTGAAGCCTTGTTTTCTGACCGAACACTTACCCCACTATCGTCTGTCGTCCTGAGCTGTGGTGTCGTTTAGATCCCTGGAGAGCTAGAGGCTGACCCAGGCACCTGACCCCATTCCTGCAGACCCTGGCCAGGGGCCCTTCAGATGCTGGTTGTTCGTGTTCCCATAAGAGAACCTCGGCGGGCCGTCCTTCAGTGCCCGTGCAGCGAGACACCACCAACCTGTGGCGCTCGGAGCCCTTTCGTGCTGTTGGTGGCTTATGTAAACATTGCAAGGCGCTGCTCCCTGGCTGTGTGTTGGCTGAGGATTCCTGATCTAAAGTTCTTTAGCATCTGAGCTCAAAGTTGGAGATTTTTGGAACATTTTGGATTTCAGCTTTTCAGATTAGGGAGGTTCAACCCCTCAAGGTATGCAAATTTTCCAAAAGCTGAGAACCTCAAACCTGACACACTTGAGGCTCCATGCACAGTTGAGATGATCTGTCTCAAACTACAAAGTCAAATGATTGCATATGACATAGTGACCTGAACCAGCTCATGGTAAGGACCCTGCAGCACGAGTGGTTGCTGGTTGGCACTGGTGGCAGGAGACCAGGGCCACAGTGTCCTGCTGTGCAGTTAGGAGCCAAGCGAGGGGCTGAGTACACTGTGGACCTGGTGTGTCCGCATTTGGATCCGCTGACTTAAGAGCACGCACATCTCGAGACGGTGAATTCACTGTTGATTGTGTTTGGATAAACTTCTTGGAAATCTTTCAGATGTTTGGACTGTGAGTTCAGCTGGTAAAGGCACTGGTAATGACAGGGGAGCAAAGGAGAAACTCGTGCTGTGTCCTCTGCGTAGGTGGCTTCTTTTCTTCGTGGGCTCTTTCCTGTGAGCTGCTACTGCGTAAGGAGGGCCGGCCTTCTTGGTTGGCAGTGTTGCCACACGGTAGCGGCCAGGGTTGGAGGGTGCCGGCACCCACACCCCCAGGCGCTTGTGCTCGGGAAGCCTTGGGTCTGTGCTGCGCAGGAAGCCGCGGCCTGCTTGCCGGTCGTGCTGGCCACACCTCAGCTTGCAGAGCCAGGGCAGTGGGCAGCTCTCCTGTGGGCAGGGCAGCGTGCTGCAAAGCCTCCACCAGCAGGAAAACTGCGTCCATGTTGGTGGATTGCAATCACCTTGGATTTTGCCCATCTGTTATTTTGTGGCCCTGAAAGGGTTTTTATAATGTGCAGGCCCATTTTTCACCCACGGGTACTCTTCCACTAGGGAGAGTTGGCAGTATCTTTAGTGTGTTGTGAACTGGTCTCTGGGATAGCAGTCCTCTCGAGAGTACAGTGCTACTTTAGCTGAGCTTTAACTTTTGCCATTTCTTTTATCAGATGATGCTGGAGGGTCTTGAGATCTTTAAGGCCAGCTGAAACCTACAGCTTGTGTTAGCCCTCTGTAAGCAGTGCCACGCCTAAGCAGCGAGGAAGAGCCGGGACCTGCGCCTGGATCTCAGCCCCCCGCGCCATCACATGCCCCAGAGCCACATCGATGTGTGGCCTCCGGCTGGGGCAGAGCTCTGTGTGCTTCCCTGCTGGGAGGTGACAGGGCCACCCTTCAGGAACACTTACGGACTGATGAGCGGCCACCCCAGGGACCAGCCTGTGGGAAGGGCCGTGCCTGGCCTCTGGCCCCGTGACCTGCACTCTGCATCGGTGCATTTCTGCTGATACGGGGGAGACCCGACGGCCTAAGCAAAGCTGCACACAGGCACTTACACTTGGCAAGTTTTTATGTGGAAACACCTGTTACTAAAGAAAGCATCTAAACCTGTTTATTACATTGGTAATAGTAAAGAGGCGCTGAATCTGCTAGTGAAAATGTTTTTTTTAGCAGAGTGACACAGTCAGTGGGGCTCTGAGTCACGCCGCCCAGTAGCCCTGCCCCAAAGGGAGGCAGTCGTGGCGCGGCTGCGAGCCGCAGCAGCTGTCAGCGCTGTGCCTTCAGGCCACGGGGCTGAGCCCAGGGAGGTTCGGAACGTAGGTTCTGAGTTTTATGAATCATTTTTTGGAACAAGGTCCCACCACCTGACATGTTAGCTTCTCTGTCTGTGCCTTAAGCCAAGGGGTTTGTGCAGAGCGAGGCAGAGAAGCCCTGTACAGGGCCAGCGGCTGGAAGCACCTGGGCTGGGTGGCGTCCATGTGCGGGAGGGCCTCGGACGCCTCCCTCCGCGGTGACCTGTGGGCCTGTGGTGGGGCAGCCTCGCCCCGCATCCTCGGGGGGGCCGGGAAAGGGAAGAACAAACGGGAGGTCAGCTGGCCAGGGAAGAGCCAAAGAAGAGAACTGGAGACCTTACCCTTTTGAAGCATGGGAGCGAATATGTGTCACTCTGGTCATGAATAAAATTTTAATGGCAACACTGTTGGCTCAGCTTTTTTTCGTTGTGACAAGGCTTGGTGCAGTACAGTTCATGAGAACGTTTAGCTGGAGTTGCTGCTTACCTGTGAATTAGTTTTCAAGACACATCTACAAAGTGCAGTCGGGATGGAGGTCTCATAATCAGAATTTTTTCTTTTTTTGTATTTTAGGGAAGGGTCTACAGGGTGTTCAGGGTCTCACTGCTACAGCCTCCAGAGCTGGGGTTCCAGGCGAGCACTACCACACCCAGGCTCAGTTGCCACTCAGCGCGCCCTGGGGGCGGGGCCGGCATGGCAGGCCAGGGGCTCAAACCCCAGGCCCCTCCACCTGCTTGCAGGCGCTTTAATCTTTTTTTTTGTGGTATTGGCGAGTGAACTCAGGACCTTGAGCTTGCCAGACAAGCGCTTGCTCTACTGAGCTATCTCTGCAGCCCTCTGCTGAGCTATTTGGCCAGCCCCTCAATCAGAAATTTTGTGCAGACTTGCAGGTGCAGGAGGCGCTGGGCTGCTGCGCGGAGCGGCCTGGTGCCAGGCATTTTGGTACCGTGCAGGTTCATTCTAAGGGACTGACTGGTGCACTGGAGCCTCCTGGGGCCAGGCCCAGCGATGGCACCCTTGCTCTGTAAGCGAGGACTGCGCATTTATGTGTCCTTTCACCAGGGATGAGTGCCGGCGCTCGGGCGAGTGACTGCTATTTTACTGCCAGGAGCTAGCTTAGGGAAGTTTCACCAGCACTGCTGGCGGCCTCCCCAGAGCCAGCTCGAGAAGCTGGCGACCTGTGGCCCCCGCTGCGCCCTGCACCCCTGGGATGCAAGCACCCGCGCCAGGGCCTCCAGACCACGCGCTGTATTCTCAGTTGTACGTGTGTTTCCTAACCACGTGACACGCTCACACTCTTAGTTGGGATGGGTTGTTTTCGCCATCCAGGTGGTTGGGCTCAGGCCTTCGCACTGTCCCAGCCCCAGTCCCCAGCTTGTTGCCATGTGTAATCCTTCTGACTAGGCCTCCAAGGCCACTGCAGTTCCCAAGTGTGGCCCGCAGGCTTTGCTTCCCAGCCTCGGGTCTGTACTGCGTACTTGGTCCCGAGTGCGCAGAAGGATCGCAGAAGGCTGGCACCCGTGGGCGCCCGAGCCGGGGAGCAGCTGACTGACCGGCCGCACCAAAAGGGATGTAATTCAGCTTCACTGCGGATTTTTTGGTTTCTAAAACTACAACGGGGACATCTGAAATTACCTGTATGGCTATTTTCGTAATTAACGTACAGGCCCTCACGTGATTTTTCCACACAAGCTGTGCTCCAGGACTGACGCACACCCTGGGTCTGACCCCAGCCAGCGGAACGAGATGCAAGGCCACGCCAGGGGAGGTGACACACAGCTGAGCACTTTAATGGCAAGCTTATGCAAAGGAGAAGATTATGCTACACAGCGCCCCTGAGGAAAAACCAAAGCCGACTGTCCTAGGAAACTTGACCCCCGAGTGGCCAAAGGTCCTGCTGGCTCCAGAGGTCTGCAGCTGGGGACTGGAGGACAGGACCCCGTCTACCGGGACTAGGACCCTCGGTGTCCTCTGCCGCCTTGTCCACCTTCGGTGTCTGGGTAGGGACGCAGGTCTAGGGTCAGCACTCGGCTGAACACACCTCTGTCATGCTGGAGGGAAACAGCAGTGGTCAGTGCTGAGTGGGAGCAGTGGGGGGGTAAAGCCACGGCGAGCCTGGCGCGGCACCCACAGAGGTTTATTTGAAAGGGTGTCAGCTACCTGTTCGCGCCCATTTTTATGTTCATTTTCTGGTGTGAGAATTTTTCCCTTTTGGGATAACAGTTGCAGTTCTGCAGGTGAAGCCAAGGCCTTGGCGCTGACCGACATCTGCAACACTTTCGGGGTGGTCCTGCTAACCTGCCCAGGACCAGGTTGGGCTTGAACTTGCAATCCTCCTGTCTCAGCCTCCCAGAGTGCTGGGATTCCCATGTCTCAGCCTACTTCTAGGTGGTTTCCTACTGTGGGTATAGGATGGTAAATTATCTCTTAGCTTAAAGGAAAGCTCAGGAAATAAAACCTAACTAGGTAAAGGCCAAAGGTCTTGAAATAGTTGCTCCACGCATGGTTTGCTGGGGTCGACCTGAACAGCTTGAGGTGTGTTCCACGTGTACAGCCCTGTACCACTGGGAGCTTCCAGTGGATGCCTTTGGTTTTCCTCAGAGATAGTGATTCAGTGCATTTGATTCTGCTTAAAATATTCAGACATTACAGAAACACGAAGTACAGTATTAACTTCTGTGTATTAATGTGCACTATTTTACAAAATTCTCATTCTGCTCTGCCTTTTTTTTTTTCCATTTTAATGTATTTGGTACAGGGTCTCACTATACAGCTCCAACTCGTAGTGATCCTGTTTCCAGCCTCCCCAGCGCTGGGATTATAGGTGCACACCACAACACCCAGACTCGGTCAACAGCGCGCCCAAGGGTGGGGCCAGACAGGAGTGGCATGCAGTACTGGGGATCGAACCTTGGTCCCTGCGCGTGCCAAAGCAGGCGCTTAGTCTGCTGAGCTATTGCTCTGCAGTTTTTAACTTGCTTCTTTCACTTGACATTTCTCTTCATTACCTGTGTACTATTACAGACAAATACCCAAGTAGCTACTCTCACTCAAAATAGGACTTGGGCTGTGTTGATCACCTGCACCCAGCCAGCAGTGTGCAGATCCGCCTCATCTGCTGCCAGGAGAAGCAGGGAAGCTGGGCGGCTGAGGCTGGCTGGCGCACGGAGGCTCCGCACGCCCTCCCTTCCCGGACCCCCCCCTCCCCCCCAGAGCGCCCTTTACCTCTGGGTAGACGCCGATCAGGGCATCGGCTCTGGAATAGAGCTCTTCTTTTAGAGAGATAATGATCATCTGTAACTGTTCTTGAGTCTGCTCTCTGATGTAACTGGAGACCTGGCAGGGAATAAAAAGCACAGGGCTCACCAGGGGAAGGGCCTGCCGGGGCTTTGGGGGCAGTGGTTCTGCCCCCTCTGGGCAGAGGAGCACTTGCTTGCCTTTCCAGTCCTCAGCAAGTGCCCCCCCACTGCAGCACTGCAGGGTTTCTCCAGTAAGAGGTGAGGGCACCTGATTAGGCAAAATGCAAAGGTCCGGGTTTGATCCCTGGAGTGCTGTGCCAGCCGCACCCACGGGGCACACTGAGATGGCTATTGAGACTGGGCGTGGTGGCACGCACCTGTAATCCCAGCACTTGGAGAGGCTGAAAACAGGAGAACCACTATGAGTTTGATCTAGTAGTGAGACCCTGCAGACCCTGTCTTAAATACAGGAAGGAAAAAAAAGATGAAGAAAGATCCATGAATCCTTCGATCAGAGTGTGAGCACAATTCCGCATGGGCGCTGGGGGTGGAAGCCAGCCCTGCTCTACCCCCAGCTCCACCTCAGTCTGTGAGCGTGTTAAGGGTATGGCTGTAACCTGAGATACCAAGGGGGGCATTGGCTGCAAGGGTGTGCAGGAGCTGCGAAGGCGTCGGAGGTGGGTGTCTGAGCTTTCAGCGCCTGCGGTGCAAGGTGCAAGCCAGAGCCTGACGAAAGGAAAGGCAGGCCTGAGGTATTCACGGCCATAGCCGGTTCTTCTGGGAGTGGCCTCTGCTTCTGTAGCTCAGTTCCCAGGCAATGAACAACAAAGCACTCTGGTAAAAGAGTCCTGGTGAATACACTGCTCACACACGGAGACTGACCAGGAACACCCAGGAAAGCGAGCACCACAGTCTAACAGGTGTTGCTGTACACCCTAGATTGCGCTGTGGCCTTGGCTGCGACTATCCAGCAGCTGAGGCAGAGCTAGGAAGCAGGGCAGCTTCAGGTGAGGGATGGGACAGGGAGACGTTCTTGGCTACGAGGCTGAACTCACAGAGCTCCTGCATCAGAGGCCATGCTGGCAGCCACTCTGATTCAGGACCGAGTCCTGGGGCAGTGGCAGAAAAGGAGAGCTTGTAGGGTTTGGATGCGAAATCCACAGGAGGTGAGGGAATCCTTCAGCAGCAGCAGCATGTCTCCGGGAGCCAGGTCACTGCCAGGGCCCTGGCCCCTCCCTCTCTGCTCCCCGGCTCCCACTATGTTGAACAGCTCACCACTGGCCCAGGGCAGTGGGCCTCCACAGTGCAGCTGGAAAGCTCCCAGACTGGAGCCCGGAGAATCCTCTGCCACTCTTCCCACAGCCAGCAGCTGCAAAGGTGGATGGCTGCCTGCTGCTCAGAGCTGCCCACTACCTGCACTCAGCACGGTGATGATCTCCAAGGCATCATGGGAATTCTGAGGCTCTGCTACGCAGGCTGCACGCTGTAGGCGTGTGAGACTTACACTCTAGAATGTGGACACTGTGCAACTAAGCATGCACAGGAGTGCAGAGCTGAGGAGCCAGCCCGACATCCGGTGAGCGGAGGTGGCGGGCAGCTGGCCCAAGAGACTGAGGCAAGGCTCTGTCCCTGTGTTTTTTCCTCTGGACACTGTGAAGCCTCTGCAGACTCTGGCTGGGAGCTGAGGTGTTGTGTATTGTGTAGCATGTTAAGAACGGAGGCCCAGAGAGATACCAGGAAGTGCTGAGAGACACTGCCATGCCCCTAGGAGCCACCTCACCGCAGCTCCACTGCACTGCCATCTGGCCTGGGCACCACAGGAGCTGAGGCACTGGGGAGATGCGCTACACAGGCTCTGAGCTGCCTGGCAGCACCCATGTCTGCAAACATCTCAAGGGGCGCTCATTGGCCTGCTCACAGGGCCAGGTTGAAAGCCAGGCACCATGTGTACACGTACAGAGAAAGGAATCTGCAGGCGCGGATAGAGCGGCTTCCCGTGTGCAGCCCGGAACGCAAGTGTAGCAACTCTGGAGACGAGCCTGACGCAGCTCCGGCAGCCACGGGGCTCTGCAGGTCTGCTCTCCCACATCCCAGGCTGACCCATGTCACTGAAGGGGGAAGTTAAAATTTTAAATAAAGCCTGTCTAGGCTGCCGGCCAAGACCAAGCATGTATGTCCGCAGGCCTGATAACAGAACACGCCTCCCCCTGCGAAAACCGTCTTTACTGTCTTTGTATGACTGATGACCTTGCAATGTAACTTAAAATGTAACAGGACATTTCCTCCTCCGTAGAACCCACGCTAGGTGAATGATGGCCTTATGATGTAACCTGTAATGTTTAAACTCCCTTAGCCACCCAAGATGTCACCCAGCGCTCCAATCCTAATGTGCCAAATCTGCCTTTGTACCTTTCCCCTTGCTTTCCCTATAAAAGATCCAACGGGCTGGGAATATACGTAGCAGGCACAAGGCTTGCCTGGCAAGCATGAGGTCATGAGTTCAAGTAAAGACCCTACCAGGGGGGCTGACTTTCTGGGGGAGACCCAGTCCAGCTCTCTGGTATAGTAAACTACCTCCGGAACCTTCGCGGTGCCTTCTCTTCCAGTTTGGTCTGGGCTGAGAGCACCCCTGAAGCCTGCCCCGCAGATGAATCCACCCACCTTGGAGCTAACTCATTCTCAGAGCGAAACTGCGTCCTTTGTTCTGGCCTCTCCAGCAATGCGAACAGAACTGGCACAGTGCAGCAAAGATTGCACACGTCTGGATGGCATGGGGAGGTCCGATTTGGAACTTCAGTTCCTCTGGAATTTTATTTACACGCTCCCTTGGCCCACAAAACCACATGGGTCTGCCTGTCCAGAGCTGCTCCCTGGCCCCTGGGGCCGGGTTCCCTAAATCGCAGGTGGGATGTTACAAGTACTTCGCTCTGAGCCTGAGTAGTACAATTAACAACGACAACAACAAAGCGCGCCCCTGGCAAGTGCAAGGGTCTGCGTTCAATCCCCAGTTCCACCAAAGAAACAACAGCAACAACAAAAGCTGACTTTAACGAGCCATTCCTGTGGCCCCCCGCCCTGTGTTAAGTAAGGCACTGCACTCTGACCACACCATGAATCTGGAATTATTGACATCAGATTGAAAGAGCAGAAAGCAACTTACTTTGCCAATGTTAGTATTGTCCAAGGCTGCATCCACTTCATCTAGAACAAAGAACGGTGCAGGCCGGAAACTGGAAAAAAAAGATACCCTAGTAAGTCACAGCCCACTGTTCTGTTTTGCAAGACTTAAGAGAAGATGAACAGTATTCAGATGAGCAAGATGCATCCTGGGGAGACCTGTCTGGCTGCTGGTGACCTCTGCACCGCTGAGTCCCTGCTCACCAGGCCTGGCCTATGTGCTCCATACCCAGGTGGGCTCGTCATGTCCGCCCGAGACCTGCTGGGACCTGTTGGTCTTCCTGCCCTCCACGGCCTGCCTCCTCACCACTGCAGGGCCTCTGGGCCTTGCCTCACTCTGCTGAGCAGCTCCTGACCTGCACCAACGAGGCCCTCATTCCCATCACTGCCCCTCCAAGTCTCAGTTACTGACACCTCTCATCTCTACTTTTTGAGGCTGCACCCAGAATTTCCTGACTTTATAGTCCACGTGCTGTCAGCAACCTGCAGCTCTTCACCACCTCCAGCCCGTCGCTGTCTCCCTGCTGTTGCAGTAACTCCCAGTCCTGTGCCTGCCCATGCGCCCTCTCCACGCACCCACTCGCTCTGGCCTCAGGGCCACGTACTTGCCACTCCTCCTTAGCTGTCCATGTGCCCTGCTCCTCTAATTACTCCAAGTCTTTGAGAATGCAAACTTCTCCAACTGGCCTCCTCAGAGACTCTGCAATACTGTAGACCCAGTGCCAGGGCTCCAGCCCCTTCTCAGCTCTCTTGTCACCTCTGAATGTTTTCAGAGTGAGTCACCAGTGAACCTTACCGTCTTTCTCAACTAAAATGAAACAACTGAGGTGGGCATTCTGCTCTGTGCACAGAGCGCTCCCTGGTGCCCACAGCAGCCTGTGCGCAGGTTTTAATACCACCTGAGCAAACGGGTACACCCACCTCATCCCAGTCTCCTCACTCCAGTGCTGCCCTCCCAGCTGCTCCTCTTCTGGGGGAGGGGGCTCCCCTTTCCTAGTTGAGACCAATAAAAAGCAGCGGGCAGGGTCCCGGGCTCAGTTCCCTCAGCTTTCGGAGCAGGACAGGGAGGCCACCTGGCCTGTGGCTTTCAATGTTGACACTGTTGAGGTAACTTTAGCTCTCTTTTGTTCTTAATTTACATTACAAAGAAACAGTGCCAAAGAGATGCAGTTAAAGGCTTTAAGCAAAATACTTCACCTTTAACATCTTCTGAGCAGAGACTAAGAAAATAATGCAAGTTGGATTTTCTTCTTTACTATTTTTGGAAATCTCTGTTATATTTGGTCATCAAAAATTTTTTTTCTGGGGCTATCTATGCCGTGCCTGCCACCTAACCAGGCATGGTGATGTATCAAATAAACAAATAAATAAGTAAAAAAAAAAAGTGAGGGGAAATTAAAAATATATATATACGATGTGGTGTGAACTTGCATTCTGTGGCTAAAGCCAATGGTTTTGCATGTATTTGTTAAGAACTGAGAAACATGAACAGCTCCAGCTGTTGTGCAGAGAGCCCTTGAGGTTCGGCTGGCCGCGGGCCTCACCCACCTGTGCACCGCGAACAGGAGGGCCAGGGCCGCCACGCACTTTTCTCCCCCGGAAAGGTTGTCCATGGGCATGAACCGCTTGCCCGGGGCCACGCAGTTATAGCTGATTCCCTCCAAGTAAGGCTCTTCAGGGTTCTCTGGGCTAAGAAATGCCTGAAACATGTGATATTTATTTAGAAATAGCAGAAAACACTAGTACATTTCAACCCCTGGTGCCAATATTAAATGCAAAATATTCTCCTGCTTGAGTCCTCAGTTTGAATGGGAAAGCACCAATGCCTGTGAATCAGGTGCTGACTGCGCTTAGGCACAGACAACAGGGCTGTCTGGCTAGGGGAGGAACAGAGCGCTGCACGCACCCGGGGCCAGGGCTGTCTTCCTCAGCTCGCCCTTGTCTGAATGGGCTAACTTTATCTTACTTTACTCAACAGATGTAATTTCAGTGACATGCTAGAAAGTTTATCAAGGATCAGCTCAGTGAGGAAAGAGTAGGAACCGAGTACAGACAGGGAGGGGTCCACGTCCCTGGTCCACGACTTTCCACCCAGTCCATGAGTGTTTGCTCCGGCACTCAAAGCAGAGCCGGGAGGCGCAAGCCACCTGCACTTGGCCTGTGCCTTCAGCTCCCGCTTCTCCGGGTCAGCTGGTTCCCAAGATCCCCACACAGACCCTCCCAAAGCTGGATTGATGAGTGCCAGACAGCAGCGGCTCAGCACTGAAGGAACCTGGAAAGCCAACGGTCTACACACTTGCTTCCAGGGGGAAAGCAGGCCCAGGGCGGCGCTGACAGGGGCCGGCCGGGAGTGCGGCCTCGAGTGGGAAGAAAACACAGGGCGCTGGGTGCGCAGCCGGCCCTGAAGAGTCCCCCAGCAAGGGCGGCATTTAGTTACATCACAGACAACAGCGCTGTCTGGGTCGGGGGAGGAAAAGCACCAGCAAGGGCTCCGTACGCCAGTGGGACTTACTTGGGCGCTGTTGTTCCTGCAGAGCTTCTTGTAGATGTGATCAATTGAGACGGAGACGTGCTCAAAGCACTGGCTGAAAAGGTCGCACCTCCTCTTCTTCACCTGTTCAAACTCCTGCCTACATATCCTGGCTTCCTTTCTGCTGGCCTCAAAAGCTAAGAGAGAATCAACATTCTTTAATTTGTTTTTTTTTTTAAAGTATTAACTTGATTTTTATTTTAATTTTTATACAATAAACCATTAGTCAGAGTCTCTTAATAGTTCATGCTTTTCATTTATTGATTTATCCTTATATGTTTTGAAAAACAATACAAGCAAAGTTTTCAATAAAGGCTTTGGGGTTTTTGTTTTGTGTGTGGAACCGGGGATTGAACTCAGGCCCTTGCGCTTGCCAGGGAAGCGCTTATTCCACTGAGCCACAAATGATCAGTGGTATGTTTAGGAAAACAGAGTTTTTCCAAAGTCTTGGGCCAACAGTAAACATAAGCCTTAATAAAAAGACACAGCATCATTTCACTAAAAAAAAGAACAACAACAACAAAAAAAAAACCCAACCAAACAAAAAAACTAATGTATATATGTAGTGCGAGAGTTAGAGGAAATTTAAAATTTCACAATTGACAGTGAACTAATTGTACAAAGGCCTCTAACAACTTCCTCTGCATCGTTGCAGCCCCTTAATTTTCCTAATATGGCTCTCTGTTGGAACTGTTATTAGTACAGTGAGTATTTTGATTTTGACAATAATGAACATCTTTATTTAAATGTTGTTACATACAGTCCCTGATTACAAAAGAAAGAGTGTTTACTTACAACCACATTAATGCTCTCAGAGACTGAAAGAATCCCACACTAATGCTACAATGCACGTACTGCCATTGGCACATATATTAAGACAAGATTTTTATGTTTGTATAAACATATGCACATACATAGATACATACATTTTTTTAATGGAGATAGATGAAGACACTGACAGCTTCCATGTCCATGAAGGACATGTTCCACTCAACTAGGTTAATCAATCACGGAGATAAACAAGAGGAACCTTTTTCTCAATAATAATGTACATGATCAAAAATGTTATACTAATTTATGCAAGATCATAAAAATTAAGAATCACTTGATTATCTATAACTAGGAAAAAAGAAATATGAAAGGCTCCAAAAGACTGCTATTCCTTCCTATTTTTCCTGGAAAATACTGTAAGCACCTTACAGAGTTGTTCACTGACTGCGAAAAAATGAGTTTAAAAACCACCAAAACCAAGCACAGATGTGTGTTCACAGCAGGCAGACACAGTGTGAAAGGCGGCTATTCTGACAGAACCGCTACATGTCCAGGACACTGGATAAACCTTATCACCCAGCTAAGTTCACACAGATCTACAGTATCAATAAAGCACTGACGACTGCTAGGGACAGGCAGGGCGCGGGCGACACATGCGGAAAGGAGCGCAGTCCTGCACGGAAGCTGAGCGCAAGCTGTGGCAACACTCTTTTTTTTTTTTTCTTTTTGTTTTGTTTTTATTTTTTTTTTATTTTTCAACAAATAATACATTGCATATATTCTTCTTAGTGGTTACTTGCTGTACAAGATGCGGATTTGAGATCCTATTTACAAACACCATTAGAACAAATCATTCTATTCATTAACAGAATGTAACT